AGAAATACTATTTTTGAAGTATTATTTCCTTCAGTGCTTGCCAATGGTTAAGTTACAAGGGTAAGGCCCTAGGACAGAGTTCAAGGACTCTTGCCCCCCAAGAAAAAATAGGAACAAGCCTCCTGGAAGGGTAAGGCATTGGGGATAAAGTTCAAGGATTCCTGCTCCCGAAGAAAAAATAGGAGCAAGCCTCCTGGAAGGGTAAAGCCCTGGGGATAGAGTCCAAAGACTCGTGCCCCCGAAGAAAAAACAGGAGCAAGCCTCCTGGATGGGTAAGGCCCTGGGGACAGAGTTCAACAACTCTTGCCTCCGAAAAAAAGGAAGGAACAAACTTCCATAAGGAGTGAGACCCCGCGGATGCGTATGGGTCTTAGCAATGATAAAGCTGAACCAATTGGGTAGGCAAGCCAAATTGCTCCCCAGGTGTCGGAGCTATCAAAATCTTAGAGAATACAAGCAAGAAAATGTAAGTACTCGAAAAAAGCTTCATTTCAAAAGAGGGACTTTGCGTCCCCAAGAGCTACAAGAGTAAAAAAAAAAAAGTACAATTCAAAAGAAAAAGATCCTTCATCTGACCCCGGGCATCTCCAAAACATCGCTAGAGGGCGAATCAACGCAGAAAGGTTGAGCAGCTTCAGGGGCAGGTGGGGATAGGATCGAATTAGCGACAATAGGAGTCTCGGAAATATTGTGGTCAGGTGCCAAGCCCGACAAGGCCTCCTCTGATGGGACTAGAATCATCATCTCGGGCGGGTCTGCCAAAACTTGCATCGGCGTTGGAGTCGCACCCTCGATAGCAATCTCGGCCTCTGCTTGTTCCATCTCAGTCGATTGCACATAGTTGTGCATCTGGAAGAGCGGGGAGTCTGGAGGAACCCCGGCAGATTGGAGCGCCTCATCCCACCCCTTCTTGAAGAACTCTTTGCTATTTTTCTCAAGAGCAGGCAGTATGTCATTGGCGAATTCCTCTTGGAGTTGTTCTTCAGACTTCCTGCTCTCTACCTCAGCCCTGATCCTGTCCAGTTCCTGGGTCAGAGCCAGACAGCTTTCCTCTGAACCAACAGCCCTCTCCTCTGCCGCAGAGAGCCGCTGCGTCTGCTCTGTAATCTTCCTCTCAGCGTCGGCCAAGGCAGCACTTAGCCTTTCAGCGCCGACCTTCGCCAACTCGGCATCTTTGAGGAGTTGTTCGATTTGAGCAGCCTGCCTCGCGAGGGTGGAATCCCTGGCAGCTACATCCTCCTTAGCACTAGCGAAGGCTCCCTCGACTTCTTCCTTATGCTCTCGAGCCCGCTGGAGGTCCATCCTAGCCCCATGATACCGCGCCGCTATTATAGAAATCTGTTGGGTGGCCTACAAAGGAAAGAGTATATCGATAAAAAGAAAAACGGCTAGAAAGGACTGAAGCAAGGGTGAACTTACCACTAGGAAATTCTGAACGATAGAGCGAAACAACACATTTGTTGATCGCCCCCTATAAGCCACCATGTCGGCCTCGAAGTGCAGCGTGTCACCCACTGCGTTGGCAACATGGGGGTCCTGCAAAATGGAGTCGTCAACCTTAATCACACAGTTCATGTGATCGGTGGCCCGAAAATTCCACTCCACGGCTTCCACCGTTTGCGAAAGGGGAGGGGGAGTTTGCCCTTGCTGCTGTTGCTGCTGTTGTTGTTGTTGTTGTCATTGCTGTTGTTGTTGCTGCTGTGGAGGAGGAGGTAACCCACTGCTTCTCCCGCTTTGCTGCTGAGCGGAGGGGGCCCTAGATCCCCTACCCAGGCCATCGTGCCTTTGTTTAATCCTTCTCTCCACCTCGACCTGAGGATCTCGGTCACGCACTTGGCCTCGACCAACGGCCCTTGAAGGTAGGGTGGCGCTGGTCCCTGTAGGTGGGGCCCCACTGGTTGACCCACGCCCCCGCCTAGCAGCGAGGGCTTGCCTCTGCCTCAGGAATCCCAGATCAATGCGGGACGTGTTGGACATAGCTATCTCGAGGGCGTCCTTGGCGTCTAGAGATTGCAAGATTTGAAAGTCAGGCCACGAATCTCTCCCTGAAGTCTCCACCTCGGCGTGCGAAGGAACCAAATCGTCTCTAACCCCAAGCTCCTCAACTTCACCCTCTACTTTTGCCTCCATAGCCCCATCGAGGTCTTCCTCCAAGTTCTCCTCGTCCTTTTACCACACCGCTTGATCGAAGAGTTCAGACCACCGCAAAGGCTCGAAAGGCTGGGGAAACTGTGAAAATTTTTTATATATGGGAGTGTAATTCAGGAGGATGTGGGCAGCTCGGCTGAACTCGTCGTCACCAGTAAATCTGCAAACAGTGACTAGGTCGGCAAAGTTCACCAAAGACCGAGGTGGAGGAGCTGTTTCCCGAGTGGAGATGTCTGCACATAAACAAAAAGAGAGGGGAGTGAGTTATGAACTCTGCTAAAAAATCTCAACAACAAAATAATAGACCCGAAGAAGCCGACGTACTTGTCGTTCTCCATTCCAAAGGGCATAACAAGCCATTGTACTCGGGACCGGCACCCCTCCTTGAAGATGAGTAGGTCATCTTTGTACTCCTTGTCCGAGTCGGGAAGATGAGTTACAAGGTACATGGATGGGTCCCTGGTTTTGAGGTAAAGTTTTGTTGAGGCATGACCCTCAAAAGGGAGTAGCAAAAAAGGATATCGTTCAGCCCAATATTTACCCCGAGATGCTTGTTGAGCTCTAAGACTCCTATAATTATCCTGAAGACATTAAGGCAACACTGTCCGGGGAAAAGATGGAAATGGGAGAGGAACTGGAGGAGAAGAGGGGGCAGAGGGAACCTAAGTCTACCCTCTATGACGGCTTTGGTATAAAAGGGCATCTCATCCTCGGTCCCGTGGGTTCGGGAATGCAAAGCCGGGTCATAATCCTCTATGTCTACACATGAGGGGATGTTGTACTTGACCCTAAACCTATTAATTTGCTCGCCCCCCTTCACTTTATACTTCCTTGGCCTCGAAGAACTGGCTTGAGGATCCTCGGGGGTAGGGCGACGACGGGACATCTCCAAAAAGTGATAAAAAATGAAGAAGGAGGGGGGTTTTTTCACGAAGATCCCTAAGGAGGCTTCCCAAGGATTGGTCGCTGAGTGGCAACCAGAAATGCCTCCAGTTATCGAAAAATCAAAAGGAACAAAAAAAAAATGAGAAGAAGAGAAGAGACGGAGGGCGAAGAAAGGGAAGATACAAGGACTCACCAGAACGTAAAAGGAAGTTTTTTCTTGAAACTTGAAGCGACTCCTTCCTCCAGAATGTTCAGAAGCAAGGATGAGTCTGCTGGCGTTAAGACTCCGGTGAAAGATTGGACAGTAGACGACGAAAGGAAAGGGATCTCCGGCGAGGTTTCAGGCAATGGCTCTCTCAAATGGCAAAGTGAGAGAGGGAAAGAGGAAGCCCATTTATATAGTACTCATCCCCATCATTTGGGCACGAAGCACGAAGAGGCGCATTTAATACGCACGACCTCCAAAGCAGGGGAAATCGGCTGAAGACAATGATGAAGTAGTTGGGGTAGTTGCAGAACCCTTCGTCTCCTTACGACGCGTGTCCTCGGTGTCAGGAGATCGAAGGATAGGGGCAGTTGATGGGACATTTCCAAGTACTCCAAGATGAAGACACGTGTCCTCGGCATCAGTAAATTCTTTTATTATAATTACGATACGTACCCGTCGGATCACAAGTCCCTGTTCCCCGAGGTACTGTTTATAGGGATCAATGACACCTAGTACGTTACGTACCGACACGTATCCCTCGGGTCGGATATGGTACATCGGTCCCTACATGTACCACTCTCCCCTCGATACCGAGATGTACCCGTCCAGGATGGCGTTCTCTGCTCCTGCAGAGGCTATTAATATACAGGTCAGTTACCTAGGCTAGGCTAGGTTAGCCATCATGACCTCGTCTTACACAATTGGTGTCAGAAGGCACAAGAAAGCAGGGGAGACAGCCAATGGGGAATGGACGTGTGGCATATTGTGTCACATCAGAGACAAAAAGATCGGATGCCCTTGTTGACAGACGACTTGGGAAAGCAAGCATTTAATTACACCATTCCCTTGATGAGACAGCATTTAATGCGGTAAGACTCGAAAGTGAAAGGTAATAAATGTCCCTAAGGCTGGGCATTTATTACATCCTTGTCGAGAGGAGCTCATTAAACAGTCGGCAGGCCAATGACGCAGCCTCAGTTGCTCGGGATCCCGAGCAGTTAAAAGAGAAGATATTCTTCATAGGAATCAGTGAGCACGTTACCCGTGTTTAATGATCACCAACTGACCACACTGACAGCAATCATGAGTTTTTGAAGTATAAATACTCCTCACAAAAGTCAAGACAAAGGGAGGAAAAAAAACGTAAAAAACCTTTTCTCAAACTTATACTCAGTGTTTTCTTCTTCTTCTCTCTCAAAAACTGACTTGATCGTCGGAGGGGATACGCCGAAAAACACTCCGGCGCCCTTCTAACCTGTCTTTCTCTGTTCCAGGAACCTTCCTCAGCCTTACTGGATCGTTCCGTTGATCCACGAGGGTCTCCCATTATCGTTCCAGGCTACCACCGGACCTCACAAGTTGTTCCAAGCAGTAGGGTTGACCATTCGACTGACTCACTCGAGTTCATCAAGGGAGATATCTGTTCTCGTATTTATATTATGCAAGATCCAGCACGCACATTAACATTGATATATTATACGAATTTAATAGAGAAAAAAATTGTAATGCCTTAGATTTACAAAGAGTGAACCAAATGAAAGACCCTTTTGGTGATCTAGTTATGTTGACTGGACATAATGCAATCTCTAGGAGTAGATGCCTTCCTCCACCTTAAACGGCTTATATTTCTTTCTCATTAACAACCTCTCATCAATCAAAAAGGACACTTTGATCCGCATTTGACTACACTATCTATCTAGCATAAATAAATGTGCTTCATTTAACATTCTCTTCTCATCCTCCAGTGCTCTAGACTACCATGGAGTCCCAACTCCACCACAACCCACCTTGTGTCACCATTGAAAACCCACTGGAAACCGCCACCTGTGCCCCGACCACCTCCATTCCACAGCCCAACATCCTGCAAAACATGAAAAATAATTTGGTTTTCAGTTCGAAATGGGCTGAATTGAATGGTGCAATGGGGGATTTGGGCACATACATTCCTATAGTCTTGGCCTTGACACTGGCCAAGGACCTTAACCTTGGAACCATACTAATTTTCACTGGTGTCTACAATATTGTCACAGGGGCAATATATGGTGTCCCAATGCCAGTACAACCCATGAAGTCAATTGCTGCAGTTGCCATAACAGATCCCGATTTCGGGGTCCCGGAGGCGATGGCTGCTGGAATTTGCATTGTCGGGATCTTATTTGTTTTGGGCATCACGGGTTTGATGCAATTTGTGTATAGGCTAATTCCACTGTCTGTTGTGAGGGGAATTCAGCTAGCACAAGGCCTATCATTTGCAATGACTGCGGTGACGTACATAAGAAATGTATAGAAATTTTTCTAAGTCAAAGTTTATTGGGGAGAGGCATTGGTTGGGGTTGGATGGTTTACTTTTAGCCCTTGTTTGTGCTTGTTTCATCATGATTGTTAATGATGCAGATGATGAAAATGAGGCTAGAGAGAGAAACTGTGATTTGAGTGATGAAGAAAGTGTCGGAAGGAGGAGAAAATTGAGGAAAATCATAGTTTCTCTTCCTTCAGCCTTCATAATCTTTTTTTTGGGTGTGGTTTTGGCCATTTTAAGAGGGCCTAAAGTGGTCAAGGGGTTTAAATTTGAGCCATCTTCTATTGAAATTGTGAAGATTTCAAAGCATTCGTGGAAGGAAGGGTTCGTAAGAGGTACAGTCCCTCAATTGTCATTATCGGTCCTGAATTCAGTCATTGCTGTTTGTAAGTTGTCGACTGATCTTTTTCCGGGAAAGGACACGTCAGCAACATCGATTTCTGTGACAGTGGGGGTAATGAACCTAGTGGGGTGCTGGTTTGGGGCAATGCCATGCTGTCATGGTGCAGGGGCTAGCTGGGCAGTACAAATTTAGGGGGAGGAGTGGTGGTTGTGTGGCACTTCTTGGTGCAGCTAAGTTAGTTTTGGGTTTGGTTTTGGGCAGCTCTTTGGTCAAGGTTTTGAATCAATTTCTTGTGGGAGTCTTGGGAGTTCTTTTTTTGTTTGCTGGGATTGAATTGGCCATTTGTTCAAGGGACATGAACTCCAAAGAAGAGTCCTTTGTGATGCTTCTGTGCACTGCTATTTCTCTAGTGGGCTCCAGTGCAGCACTTGGCTTTATTTGTGGGATTGTTGCTCACCTGTTTCTTAGGTTAAGAAATTGGGGTCATGATCAATCTTGTTCCACACTCTGGGTGCATGGAAACCCATAGCAATTCTTTTTCACACCATCTATTCAACTTTTAAAATCTGAGACATAGATAAGTTGGTCAGGAATCCACTCTATAAAATTACCAAGATTTAGAATTTTTGTCTCTTCTTGCGGCCATCCACATTGTAGAAACTCATAATTTCTCCGTACATGTGGAACATGAGGATTGTGTACATGAAACTGACTTAGTCAGGTGTTTTTTGTTAATTATCGAGTACATAAAATGAAATTGGAAGGGAAATGAAAGAAAATGAAATGAGCACCCTAGTAATCTAATAGAATTATTATACAGAACAAAGACAAACTACCGGTTGAATCCTATTTATTACATAAAGCTTAGATGACTAAGCTTCCATCATTAAGAGACGTCTACGGCTTGCAGACATTGGCGCAGCTTTCAATGCACCTCTCCAGGCTTGCTCCATCTGCAAGTAAAACCACTGTACAATTATAATTGAAGATCTTTTAGGGTTAATATCTTTAAGTCAAATATGAAATATTACTCTTTAAATGCACGTAATCTTACATAAATCACGCACATCATTTACACTAGGGTTTTGCATGACTTAGGTGACTCAAAACCAAAAATGGATTTACATTACATCGCTTGTTTGATCACTGAACCAACTCGTATGGGTTAAGCCGAGATTAGTTTATGCATAGATGGAATTCATATTTGCCACTATCAACATTGGGTTGCACAAACCAGTCTAATGCTTGTACAAGAGTGCTACCTTCCCTTAAAAAGTTGGTGCATTTGTGCATGTGTGTGTACGTGTGTGTGTGAGAGAGAGAGAGAGAGAGATGCACAGATCACAATACCATAGCTAACAAGGATGCAAGATTCGAATGAACAACCAATCTCACAATAATACTGATAATCCAAGGGAGCTTGAGGAACGCATTTTCTCAGGCAACTGCCATAACATGGCTGATGGGACATTTCTGGGAGAAGACAGATCGACGACACGTGTTTTTGGCGTCGTTATGATTCCAGTTAGGCATGACCACGTGTCCTCAGCCACACTCACCCCTCTGCCAAGGAGATAATGCTCGGAGCCGAGGGATCCCCCCCCCCCCACATCGGCATGATCAACACATGTCCTCAGTTCGGTAAAAACCTTGACCCTCGAGGTAGACAAATGTTCCTCAGTACCGAGTTGTTCCTTCTGTAGGCTGAATCTAACCTCTCCTCTGCTTCTACAAAAGATAATAATTGACTGCTGGCTAGCCTAGGGCAGACTAGACTAATCATCATGAAGACGCTCTGCTCAATGGTGTCAGGAGGAGCAGGGATGCAGAACATGCAACCAAGGAGGAGTGGACGCATGAAATTTGATATCAAATCTGTAGCAAAAAGACTTGAGTACCCCTGCTGACACATGACTAGAGCAAGTATGCATTTAATGAATCCATTTCCTGATGAGACAATATTTAAGGCATGGGGGTCAAGAAGTGAAAGGCATTAAATGCTCCCATGCCTGGGCATTTAATGCTCCCTCGCCAAAGGAAGCGCATTGAATATTCGGCAGGCCGAGGGGAAAGCGTCAATTACTCGGCGCCCCGAGCAGTTAAGGCTGAACGTATTCCCCACTAAAGGAAAGGGGGCACACTGTCCCATCTCTAATGATTGCCTACTACCTATATTATTAGCAATGATGAGTTTTTAAAGGTATAAATAGTCCTCAAAAACATATTACAAAGGTACGCAAGAACTCCTAAAAGAACCACAATGTTTTCTTCTTCCCCTCTCTCTCAAAGAACTGATTTGATCGTCGGAGGGGATACGTCGAAGAACACTCCGACACTCTTCTAACCTGTTTTTCTGTGTCACGTGATCCCCCTACAGTCTTTCAAGACCGATCAGGCGACCCAACAAACAATTCATCACTAGTCCTTAGGGCTCCTTTGTCCCTCTCAACCTGTTTCTTGTTGCCAAACCCACTTTCGGATGGGTCGAAACTCTGCCGGAGTTGACCAGAGACTCTGAAAGCAAACCTTTCATTCCGCCAGATTTACTGTCTTGTCGAGCCACAGTTCATCGTAGGAGAGATCTGTTCTTACTTCTACTGTTGTGCGAAAATCAGCGTGCATAATGGCAACCTCTTTGATGGATCTTTGCCAGTTTGGAGAACACACTCATCGTAGCATCCTCCCCAACAAGCATATACCCCATCCCCGGCAGGCTGGGCTGTGACATTTTTTGCTAAAACCAACACCACCAAAATAGCCATCACACCCACAATTCTAACACTTTTCCTCTCCATTGCCACCCTCTTTGGTCTTTTACTCAAAAGTGTTACACCTTTGTGGTTTGAAATTGACTCAGAATTCTGGCTATGTATTTAACTTGTTCGACATGGTTTGAAGAAATGCTACACTAAAGTGCTAACTTTTCTAGGTAAAACAACTAACTCATTTAATGCTCATTACTCCGGTGTGTTCAGTACAACTCTATATTTGTTTTTGATAAGGAAACAATGATTGTACAAATTGGTCGAGCCCATTGTCTTTCCGCTATTGTAAGTAAAGGTGTTAAAATATGAGATGATATAAAATTAAAGGGTTTTAAACTTCATTAAATCACTCGTTTTGTAAATGAGTTGATCCAATTTGATCTGATAAAATTAATAAACGAATTAGGTATGAGTAAATTCAATCCCAAAAAAAAATGCAAAATACGATTCGTTTATATAATAATTATACGCGGTTCATTCACGATACGAACCTGATACACGATTCGTTAGACAAAAATTAATAAACAAATTGAGTCAATAATAAAACCCGTCACGAATCGAGAGTAGTTTTTGACCGAAACATGTTACAATCCGACACAAACTTGTCTCACCAATACAAATTTATCTCACCCACCACGATTAAAACACTTAATTGTGAGGTTCACATGATAGCCTTAGTAAATAGTAAAATCACAATTATAGAGCCGAAACTATTTTCCTTCAAGTCACGGCAAAGGTCCGATAGTATGGTACCGAAAAAGACACCATACCTAAGCGACAACCATTTGGGTCAAGTGACAGTCTTTTTTCTACTTCTTTTTTTTTTTTTTTTGGCTTTTTGTTAAGGGAGGTTTGGACATATTTCTCTCGGCCACATTGAGCCAATGATTTAAGACAAGAGAAGAAGAGTAGGGGATGAGGAGTTGAAGATGAAAGAGAAGAAAGTAGACTTATTATCGAATTCTACACAAATTCGACTTAATGTAATAATTAGCATCTAAAGACCAAAGAAAAATTTAAAACTATTCGAGCTTGCTCAAGATTTACTTGGAAAAGACTCATTAAAAAGAATGAACTATCTTAAAAGTTGTTTAAATTTCGAACAAATTTATAAGAATTATGAAAAGAGAATGCAAAATGACTAGAAGACCGCTATTTCATTATCTATGTTTGGATATATTCTCTTCTGTAATGTATATTCAATTTTTTTTATCAACGAAACCTATTTTAACCTGTGAAAAAAGAAGTAAAAATAGGGAATTTTTTCATTGAAGAGAGAGAATGAGAAACTGTAGGGTGGTCGGTGGGCCGGACTTGGGAAGTATAGGCTCAAACTTTTATTTAAGTGAGTTATCAGGTGGACCAGATCGGGCTTCAAATAGAGTTAGGCTACCCACAGCCCAACCCCTGAGTCTATTGGGCGGGCTTTCTCGCAGAGTTTTTTTTATATACAATTTTATTTAAAAATAATGAATATTTTTGTAATTTAATATTTGTGTAAATTATATTTTTAAATCAAAAGTAGACTAAAAATAGATAAAAATAAAATAATGAATGATTTTATTTTTGATTAGAAGATGAACTACATTTAATAGAATGAATACGTCACAACTAGGTTAACACTTACTCACTTATTTATCATTTGTATTACTCTACCTTTTAAAACGTGTATGCTTAATACATGAAAAAGAAAATAATACATTTGTTATAGTATCTAAATTTTTAAAACTTAAAATTTCGACATTAGGAGACTTATTTCAAAATTTCAAATTTAATGATCTAAAAATATAAATTTTTTTTAAAGAAAGGGTGGGAGAACTCTTGGACCAGGTTTTAATGAATTTTTTTGGACAGGCCATTAGTCCGGGCTTCGGGCCAGGTAATGGATTTGGAGGCAAACTCAAGCTTTTTTTTTAAGGATATTAAATTCGAACGGACTAATTATCAAGTCTATCAAACTTTGAATTTATATTTTTTGAGCCGACTAACAAGACTCGTAAGTATTCCCACCATGGGCACCCTATGAGAAAGGGGGCTCAGTTGATAATATCATACCTACCAACCTTCTTAACGAGACCACAACTTCCCATAGTCACCTGCTTCTGATGCTACCCAAAAATCGATCTATCACTATCAAATCATCGTCCCATTAAGGGCCATTCCAACTCCCACATTTAAAGGCATTTTCCTTATATGTGCTCAAAATTATATGGTGCTCCTCCTCATCTAGGAGTGCAACTTGGGTTAGACAACCTGATTTTAACCTGAGCTCAACCCAAAAAAATTAGGACTTAGGCAAGGATTTTTAATACTTAGGTTAGACTTGGATCAAAAAACTTCAATCCGAATTTAATTTGGGTTGGGCTCGGGTTAAGGTCTCGTGAACCCGAGTTCAACCCGAACCCGACAAATTTTTTTTTTTTTTTAAAAATATATATATAAAGTATTAGCACTGGTTTTTTATTTTTGTTCTATCGTTCTCTGTCTCTCTTATTCTCTTTGCCTCTCTCGTTCTCTCAACCTCTCTCGTTAAAAACTTGGTTGAAGTTATTGGTTGTTAATTTAGGTGAATATTATGTAATATATGTATTAGGTTTAGAACAACAAGCCTATTTTGAGCTCTACCCGAATTGAACCCATAAAGTAACGTGAAATCAATCTGAAATTATCAATCCGAATTCAACCCGAGCCCGCCTGAATTAAACTCGGACAGTGCTCGGGTTGAGTTCCCCAATCCAAGGTAGGATTAAGGTTGAAAATTATA